AGATTTTAGATATACCGGTTTAGTTAGTGGTTTAGTCCAGTTGAACTCCGGTTAGTAGGTTCACATTAATCTTATAGTTTTATTCATTAATCATCCTCTGTACATTTTACTCATTAATGAAGAAACACTTTTACTTGTTTGTTTCTAAGAAAAAAGAAAGAAAATTTAAGATCAAAGAGGAGGAAACAGAGGTCCAATTACCTTTGACGTTTTTTATCCTTTGCTTCATTGTCATAAGGAAACAGGGGAATTTTTCACTTATTTTTCATTATATCCGATGTTGATCCAAGCAGGTCGACAATGAATTTATAATAGATCGGAGGTCGGAGAATCTCGTATATAGAAAGTTGAATCGAAGAGTGGTGAATATAGATAGGTCGCTAAAGATAGTCCGGACAGATCCTGTGTTATCAGGTCGCTAGCTAAGAGATCGTAGTAGATCGGACAGACCCCGAACTACCAAATATTGAGTATAAAGGGTATAATTTAGAGAGTTCGCGTGTATCGGTGCTTGTGCTTTTCGAGGAATGAAATCATGGCGTTTTACATCATCTTTCACCTCTATTTATAGTGAGAGGTGGCGGATTTAACTAGAGTTGAGCTGACYGTGGTTGATCTAATATGCCCCTGTTWTGACCAAGCTCAGTTCGGATGTGTCTTAGGTGTGGTCAGATCGYGGTTAACAGTTGGAGTGGGCCTCTGGAAGCCCGCTGGGCTTCTCCCGAACTCGCTGGGCCTCTGCTTCCTTTGGTGATTTGCGATCTGCGATCTGCTCAGAATRTTGGGCCGCAGGTCCGGGCCCAACAGTAGCCCCCCCGGTCAACGAAACGAGGCGGTCTGAGTTTTGTTGATTTTAGGTCGTTCGATCTGATTCTGAAAAGTCGCGAGATCGCCACGTGTCGAAATTTTACTGGTTCTCGCTGCGGTCTCATCTTCTTCGAGGCGTGACCCCTCGTATTCCGCTCTGAGCCTATAAAAACGGGACTCAACTTCTGTTTTCTTCTTCATTTCGCTTCGACTGCT